ACAAAGCAATTAAGTGTTCCAAGGAACAGGGTCATCGACAAAAGAAAAGACCCTGAGAGATAAGAATTTTCTCATGAAATTACCCTAAATCTTAACTGCAAATAGTTCTCAAAGTCATTTTAAATCTAACTGGACCCTTATCAATCCATGATCAAAGACTCACTGGATCCAGCAGCTTTAGCCGGGACCCATTATGGGCATTTATTAATATCCTATTTGAGATTTATTAAAAAGTAGCCTTTAGGAATCTCAGAAAATAGACTTTAATCTCTCACACCCTAATACATTTTTTTTTCCCCCAAACACATAAATTGCAGGTCCCTTCCCTGTTTGAAAGCACAAAAGGAACACAAATGAAGCGCTAGTTTATCTAGAGCATAACCGTCCTACCAAACACATTTTTTGAAAGAAGGGGTGGCGGGTCGGGAAAGCAGCTGAACTGAAATTACAGGCTGTCATGACATCTCAGTATCGAAAACTAAATACCTGGTTCCACAGGAGAGTACTGTTTTTATTCACAATCCCGTTACTAAGCAACTATAACAATGGCTGCATGAGCTTTCTAGAAGCTAGTGCAGTTAAGGGAGGGGGCGGGGATCTAAGGAAAGAAAAATGAGGAAACTCCTTGCTTTGGGAATCTTTATCATAGGATAAACTCAATGTAAAAACAAAAACAATCTAAACTGAAAACAAGCAGTTCCTTAAAGGATAAGGACATCCTACTATGTATATCATTCACCCTAATTTTATTTAATTTCAAAATTTACATTTAACTGGTGATAATAATTTCCTTACTGTGTTTTCTCTGTAGCCCCCTTCTTTCCTTCACCCTCCCTAGGGAATAATTTTTTTTTTTCAAATTTCCTTACTGATTAAAAGAACATTTTCAACTTCTTAAATCCACTTCTTTGTTTACAGAAGCTATAAAAACTAGTTTACAACTGTTTCATGTTGCCTCAGCTTTGAACCGAGAACACTCTGGACATCCAACTATTCCTTTGAAGGGAACAGTCTCTCAAACAGAGCCAAACACTTTCCCAGCCACTCCCTGAAGTTTAGACAACCAGAGCTTTACCAATGTCAAGTCTTATTCAAAGTTAGACTATACAATGTAGCAGGCTGTAGACCAATGTTTCTCAAATTGTGGGTTGGATTTGGGGGCGGGGGGTGGTTAAGAGGAGGCAGCTTTTCATACGTGTTCCAAGGGAATTTACATACTAGACCTGCAAAGATCCAAGGAGCAGGTTATAAGGCTAGGAGAGAGAACCTCATTGACTTTTCCTCCATCTTTCCTTGCAGCTTTCAACATTTACTGCAATGCTGAGAAAGCTCTGGAAGCTACATCTTCTAAATATCTATTCCACAGAAGGATGCTGTTTCTTTCTCCTTTTTCCCTCTTTCTCTCTTCCTCTCTACCTCCCTCTCTCCCCGTCTCCCTCTCTCCCTCCCTTCCTCTCCCTCTCCCTCTTTCTCTCTCCCTCTGAAGAATGTTAGGATACTAGGTAGGCAAAATGAAAAAATACAGTTTTAGACTCATTCTTCTGCATCAAAGCTGAGCAATCGTTGTGTGGCTCTGTTCCCAAGGTGCCTCTAGACTGCCATAAATCTCTATTTTAAGAAGAGAAAGCCACAGACAAGAAGAAATTTAAACACTGGAAACTGAAGATCCAAAATGTCTCAGCCAAGAACCACAGGGAAATGACAAACTCATCTTTGTTTTTAGATCCCAAAGATAAAGATGGTTTTCTGTCTCAGAAGATTCCCTGAGGAGCATTTGGAGGAGGAGGCTGTTTGGGTCCCTGTTTTTAATTAAATTAAATTAAATTTCTTAAATTTGATTCTCATTTTGCTTTTGTTAAGGCATAAACAATGCAAAGTATAATCTTTGTAATCACTACAAACCACAAAGCTCTACTACTTGAAATAAAACAAAGGAAATTCTTCAGAAATTATCCTTACCTCTACTGACAACAATAAAGAAAACCCAGCACTTATATAACACATTTCACGAGCAAACGGATGCAAAAGTTAAATTGGTTAGCTTCAGAACCTACTCTGTCTACATCTCCTGTGGCTAACAATTTAGACGACATGAACACTCTAAGAAACTTTAAAAAAAGTTTTTTCAGGATCCTTCAATTGTTAAAATTCCTATATTTGCTTACCATAAAATTCAAGGCTTTCTTCTATATCTTGGCCATATTTCCAAAGACCCTTGAGAACTAGGTTCATGGTAACCTTTAAGTGTAAGATTACTCACTGAAGCACTGCCTATAATTGCAAATAATTGAAAACAATAGGGAATTGGTAAATTATGGCACATTCATACAATGGAATATTATACAGCCAGAAAAAAAATAGAAAGCACTTTATGTGTGGTAAGGAATGACGTCCAAGATATATTTTTTTCATTGAAAAATGCAAAATAAGGAATACTATGTATAGTAGGCTACTAATTTTTTTTTTAAGAAAAAACATGTACATATAAATTTTCAGTTACATGTACATACAGCATCTTTAGAAGGATAACAAGACCTGTTAAGAGTTTCACCTGAGGAGAAAAACTGAGATACAGAGGAAAGACAGAGAATTTGCCTCCTACGCCCTTTTGAATTTTTTACCATGTGAACATGTTGCTAATTCAAAAAATGCATTTTTTAATTTAAAAAAATCTAATATTACTGACAAATTTTCACATACACAGGTGACATGCTGATCCACTATCAGCAAAGCTTATGCTTTTCGGTTTACAATAGTGATGACGGACTTACACTGATGTGTGAGGGATATCCCACACCAGCATAATTTTCTAAGAGGACATTCTGGAATTAAAGGTATAACCTAACTTGCTCTAATTATCCCTTAGTTAGAGACATTAGCTGGCCCCTGGCCCCTTTAGCTGCTGATACTCTTACTTTTGGATATAAACAGTACAACTAGACAATGCAAGGAGGTTCTGTTTGTGAATTTTAAGGCATTTGAAAATATTTAGGGAGGAACTAATACTACTACCTGCATTTAAAAAAAAAAGGGTGAGGCAAAATCTAGGTAGCTTGCTTAAGGGCAACCAATAAGTTACAAAAAGAGAGACACATTAAAACTTAACCTTTTAGGACTTCCCTGGTGGTGCAGTGGTTAAGAATCCACCTGCCAATGCAGGGGACACGGGTTTGAGCCCTGGTCTGGGAAGATCCCACATGCCACGGAGCAAGTAAGCCCATGCGCCACAACTACTGAGCCTGTGCTCTAGAGCCTGCAAGCCACAGCTATTGAGGCCACATGCCACAACTACTGAAGCTCACGCGCCTATAGCCCGTGCTCCACAACAAGAGAAGCCACCGCAATAAGAAGCCCGCACAGTACAATGAGAAGCCCGCGCAGTGCAACAAAGACCCAACACAGCCAATAAATAAATAAATAAAAACATTTTTTAAAAAACAAAAACTTCACCTTTTAAAAGCCGCCTCAAAACTAATTTTTTAATGGATATACAATAGGATCCTTCTAAAAACATTTGTTTGAGTGTGTGCGCGTGCGTGCATGTGCACGTGGGCATGCACACAAAGAAAAAGACAGAAAATGAGTTAAGTTTTTAGCCATGATCGAGCCTTACTTATTCAGAAAGATTTGGTCATCTACTAACTGCTGAAGAGTGTGCTAGAGACAAAAATACAGGTTAAAAATAGAAATATATTGTGAAAGAGCAAGTAGCCCAGCTGAGAAGAGGGAAGTGTCTAGGCAGGAGAGGTGACATCTGAGCTGAGCCTTGAAGGATGAAGAAGATAATATCAGAAAGAGAAGGGGAAGGAACATTCCATGCAGAGGTACAGCATGCACAGGCTCGGGAACAGGGAACAGGGAACAGGTATGCACGGCTTAGAGGAGGGTTCATGGCAGAAAACGCAGGTTGAACAGAAGGTGGGGACTAGTTTGGGAAGGGCACGTGTACCACGCTAAAGGGCTTGTACTTATAAATGTAGATAGCAGAATATAAAGAAAAAAATCAAGGCTCCAAAAAGATTCAAAGAGTTGATGTAAGGGAACAAAATAAGATTTATGAAGAAAGGTTAAAAGGCCAGAGGTTACTTAACCTAATAGACCCCAAGCCTAGGAAGGCACTGTCCGTACATTGATGGTTACAGCTGTACTCCGTCTCCACAGAAGGCAGAAAAAAAGATTAAGTATTCAGCTCTGATGATACAACAGTAAAGGTGAGTAAGAAACATCAGGAGAACAAGTAACCCCACTGAGAAGGAGGTGGGGGCCTGGGTAAGAGTTGGGAGAAGGGGACAGAAGCTCAAATGATTTAAAGCAGGCAAAACTGAGGGCATATAGATCAAGACCATTTCTTGAAGCAAAGAGTGGCACCTCCTTTTCAGGGAGTATTTTACAAGAGATGCTCACTTCCATGGGATGGTTCAAATACAGTCTTGTTTGACTACCTCAGAATGCCCATTTTATCCCCTGGGATTCCATTAACCTCAGTCTGTGAATGGAATATGGTCATTCCACACAAATTCAAAGAACATTATTTACTTGGAATGAACAGGAGAAGACATGTCTAAACCACAAAATGCTTTTAAAGAAATCAGTGCTGTTATTTTCTGCACTGATGCTAAAGGCTGACCAAGTATTTCCAATAGTGTATAAACTTTACCACTGTGGAATGATGCTTATGGGCAACCTTCTTTCTTAAAATAAGTCAGGAATTTGTACTGCAAACTGTGAGTTATAAACTACTTAGCTATTCCTTAAAAAGAGCAATGACAAAATAAGCAGAATCCCAAAACTTAAGTACAGTAAATGACCACAAATCCCCAAACTTTTAGAGCTTTTAAATTAGCATGTTCTCACCACATATGAAATTTCAACTGCATGACATTTTTAGGGAAATAAAAACAACCGGCAAGTAGGATGAATGGTGACCCTTAATGGCAAATGAATGAATTTTTTTCTAAAACTTTAAATCATTAACTGGTCAAACATGAAGGAAAGAGCACCTGGTCGATGGAATCAGGTTGAGAATCCCATTGAGAACATAGCTGAACTCCGCAAGATCCTGAGCGACAAGGGCTACCAGACCCTCACAGCAGGCTGTTCGAACCACGACATTATCACTGCAACACTTCTCCCACAGCAAGTTCAAAGCAGGAGTCTGAAATCAAACAAGTGATTAAAACACACGTCTGATGGGCAGCAAATGCATATACACCCCCAGCCATTCATCAAAGCGTAATTCAGGGCTTCCCTGGTGGCGCAGTGGTTGAGAGTCCGCCTGCCGATGTGGGGGACGCGGGTTCGTGCCCCGGTCCGGGAAGATCCCACATGCCGCAGAGCGGCTGGGCCCGTGAGCCATGGCCGCTGAGCCTGCGCGTCCGGAGCCTGTGCTCCGCAATGGGAGAGGCCACAGCAGTGAGAGGCCCGCGTACCGCAAAAAAAAAAAAAAAAATTATAATTCGTTCACAGTAGGCTAACTCTCCTCTACAAAAACCATGTCACACCATTTGTAGAATACAGTAAAGTCGGTTTTCCAAGAGAGGTAATGGATATGTTCTGATATAGCAACTCTCTCTCATCTGGTGTCTTTGCTGCAAAATGAGGCTGGCTGCAGAAGTATGACCTGAGTCCGAGCAACACAACTACTAGGAGATCAAAACTATGACTTGGCTCCAGCACTGTGCTCTAAGCCATTTAACCAGACATGAACAATGCCAGCATATCAGTTAGTCTACGTTGGACTCCAAATCATACCTATGCTTCAAGCCCTAAATGGCAGTAACATTTTCAGAAAATGTTCCTGCTCCCCTCCCACCAACCTCTATCACCCACATGCCACCCCACTGTCTCCCCCACAATGTCCCTGCCCCAAGTGAGTGAAGCTGAATGTGGACCCAGAGCAAGGAGACAGAAGTAGGACAGGCTAGGAGCAAGCTGCTGGTTCCATGACTACAAACAAAAGCCTAGAAAAAGTGTTTTGCCCAAGGAAGACCGTGACTTCTCCCCCTCACACTGTGAACCTGTCACCTTTGACAGGAAAGCACTGGAAGGACACATAGATAAATATAAGTTCTTTATTTTGAAAAATCCTATAAAAACAGAGGTTCTGGCTTTCATAACTTTCTCAGGAACTCATGATCCTCCCCTCAAAAATAAAGGTTCACTACTAATGATAAACCTCTATTTGAATGTATTGTGGGTTAAGTCCATTTAGATTTTACATGTTGTTTCAGGGATTTTTCTTTTTGCTTTTTTTTTTTTTTTTTTTTAAAAAAACACAAGGGAAGCTATTTTTCCTTCCTCCTGACATAATTTATTAGGGAAACATACAATCTGGAGGAAAAAAAATTAAGATTCCCCAGCTCCCATAGAATAACTAAAAGAATGAAAATCAACATTAAATTGTGCTAACTTTCCCACAGTAGCTGGCTCTGAGAGCCTCTTCAGTCTTAGAATCCCACTAACATAACAATACAATTAACAGTCACTGAAGGGAAGAAATATTTATATTCCATTTCTTTTATTCAGAAGGAAATTTTATTCAACTGTATGGACAATACCAAAGCGTTCTAAATGTCATCACTCCACTACTAAGCCAGAGTAACAAAATAAATGAATAAAAAAACTGTTGCCTCAGGTAATACTGTGCCCTCATGGAAGTAAGCATTCATTTATTAGAAGAGGAAACATTTAGTTACAGGGATTTGACATTCAGTAAATCCTGGCAGTTTAAGTAAAAACACTAGATCTTCTCAGAGTACATAATGTGATTATCGGCAGGATTAAGATCAGAATTCTCAGAAAACCTAATTTATATGACTACATACAAACACCAGATAAATGCCAATTAGTGAAGTATGCCCCTACATTGACTTCAACATGTCAGCAGAAGCTGTAAAGAGATGTAACTTGGAGCAGCTAATAAAAAGGAATGTGAGAGAAAGGAAATCAATTTATTTCTGTTATGAAAAACAAAATCTTATTTCCATCACCTATATTCTCCATAGAGTGACCTTAGAGGACCTACTTAAGCAGAGCTTCCAATCAGCATGTCAAAATACACAACACTGGTCAACCAAAACCCAAGTGGTAAATATGTCAGTAAGCTGGCATTGCTTCAACTCTTAGCCTTCAACTGCTCTATGAATGGCACAGAATTTTTCCTCCAGCTCTTCCTGTCAGGGGATGACCTTTCCGACTTACAACGCATATTTGGGGCTATACCTAAAGCATGAGAAATCTCCTACACCCAAACAGAGCCACTATGTTCACTTTCTCCATTAAACAAAAAAGATTCCCTCAGCAGTAACTCTGTCAGCCTTCTCTAAAGCATGCCTACCCTCCTTCCACCCATGTTATAAGAATACTCCCCTTCAATCCTTCCATATCTCATTCCTGGAGTGTTGTTACAAATTTTAAAGTTTAAAAGAAAATCATGGCGGGCTTCCCTGGTGGCGCAGTGGTTGAGAATCTGCCTGCCAATGCAGGGGACACGGGTTCGAGCCCTGGTCTGGGAGGATCCCACATGCCGCGGAGCAACTGGGCCCGTGAGCCACAATTGCTAAGCCTGCGCGTCTGGAGCTTGTGCTCCGCAACGAGAGGCCGTGATAATGAGAGGCCCGCGCACTGCGATGAAGAGTGGCCCCCGCTTGCCACAACTAGAGAAAGCCCTCGCACAGAAACAAAGACCCAACACAGCTATAAATTAATTAATTAATTATTTTTTTTTAAAAAGAAAATCATGGCAAACAAACAAAAAAGGCAAAATCATTTCTATAGTGACCTGAACTGTGAGGAAAACAAAAGAAGTGCTTATGCAGTCCAGCTAGCAGCAATATCTGAATAGAACTAAAGCACAAAGTTAAAGACAGACCTGGTTTGTGGACTGGTGGATCTTTTCTGAAAAACCATTCTCCTTTAGAACTGCAGCAATAAGATGACCTGCAGCCTAAAAAAACAAACAAAAGTAATGAATACATTCCCTTGGAAGTTCTTGCTCAATAGTGAATTTGAAGGTAACTAATAGCAGTACTAGTTGATATGGTATGCCAGTCACTCCCATTCATAGAGTGTGTGCTTTGTAGAAGGCACTGTATTGGCACTCCACATACATAATCTCTTATCTTCATTAACAACCCTCAAGGTAAGCATTTTATCCTACATTTTACCCCAATAAGCAAACTATTGTTCATAGATGTTGAGAAAATTGCTGGAATTTCAGTTTAAATTGCTGTCACTTAGTATTAGAAGATAATTTGAGATTGCTTAATCCATTAAACCATGAGAAAAGTGAGAAACTCCACAATTTTTAAAATCATCTTTGCAACTAAATGAAACGCATCATTCTTCATCATGCCCTTAATGAAGATCGTCATCCCCATCTTCATGATTATGGACCACACAGATTTGAACCAACAGGTCCTCCCCTCACCACGACAATTCTCCTTCCTCTATGCTCTATGATTTAATTTTTTTGTTGGTTTCTCATAGGTTTCAGCCCCTTAATAAGCTTTCAGCCTCATAAATCTCTAAAATTTTCCCATATCTTCTTTGGTCAAAAAGCCAGTAATTAAAACTAAGATTCTTATAAGAGAGCTGATTCCATAAATACATAAATGTCATTATTTCCCATCACCTCAACTCCACTCTCCTAGTTTTTCAGCACCACACAGCACTGCTATCTTAGAGCCACAGGCTAGCAACAATGACAGCCATGCTATGTATGGGTTGGGAGAAACTTTGCTTCGGCAACAACTGTTCAGCCTGCCCTTGAGACCAATGTCTGAAAAGACTATGAATACCTGTGAGTGTTGCAAAGTCTCCCGAAAAGCTCAAATAAAAACAAAGCACCTACTCCTTCGTTTCTTTTTGTATTTCACACATTGGAATTGAATTCAGACCTCAATGCTTGACGGTCCAAGTTTTACAATACAAGTCACACATTCACATGAATTTTAAGTTTAGATCAGTGAACTGTCTCTTACCTCTTTGTTAAAGGGATAGCAACAAAGAATTGAGGACCAGTGAATAGTTTCAGTTCCTGTTTACAAAATATACCATATTTCATTGAATGTAACTGGCCATCAACTTCAAGATGCACCATTATTTTATGTACCACCAAGGAAGAAAAAAAGTCTGCCAACTAATCTGTGTTATACAATGCTTCTTATAATTTAAATTTTTAATTTTATATTAATGAAAGAGCTATTTCAGACTCTTTTAGAAAATCATGGCCAACTTCATAAATGTGCAGGCAATACCAACTGTATAATGACCGCTGCCATCAATTACTGGGTACAACCCAATTTCACAGATGTTAAAATGTGAAAAAATGTGTGTGAATCAATGAAATATGGTGCTAACACTGAGCAGTGGTTACAAAAGAACAATAAGAAGTATTCAGAGGACAGGGCACAATTGCAAGAACCTAATGGAACCAATATGAAACACAACAAGGACAAAAAAAAGCTACTGTTCATATTTAGAAAAAGGACTAAAAGAAAAAAGCTTAATGATAAAACATCCGCCCATTGCCCACCAAGTTCAATTTCTCTAATTTACCTTCCAATTTATCTCTCTAACAAATCAGAGAATATAGCCTAAATTGATTTTAAAATACAAAATCCAAGTATAAATCAGCCTACACTGCTACTTAAGTTTTCCGTAACAGAACAGTTTAAATAGATATCGTACACTAGACAATACACTTTTCACTTAATTGTAACAGCAAAACAAATAGGCATTTCTTGATTTATCGATGCTAATAAAGGGACTCCAGGTACAGAAAAACAAAAACTGTGGACAGCATCCTCCAAGCATTCATCTTCTTCTTCATGGTAAGCACCTGTGCTGCACAGGATATGACTCCAACCCAGTCAGGTAGAAGGGAATCTTGCATAAGGAGTGTTCTACTCCTCATGGAAGGGTTCCCCACTACCCAGCTAAGTCAATTCCCACAGCAGGCATCTCCGAAGGTAACTGTTGAAAGTATCCAAGACGCTGTACGTTGGTAAGTCTTCAGGCAGGCTTCTGCTGGCCCCTTAGCTTTACTCTCACAAGAAAAGACGGCAGCTATTATGGTACCTTGATTAACAGGGATGCTTCTAGTTAGCTGAAGGCTAACCAGAAAATCAGTTCTGTTTTAACCCTAATAACGGAAAAGCTCTTCTAAAATAAATTATCACAATCTTCTACCCGAGTTAGCATGTAGATCCAATTTTTTAATCCAGGATATTTTACCTATTGAATGTCATTATTATAAATATCTTTATTCTTAATGTTGTACTGCGGTAGAATATATCTTTTTCAATATTAATCTCTCATACTCTGTAGATGTATAACCATTTAATTCTGTTCCCAATAATTAATTATAGACCAAAAATATATATTCAAGGGTTAATCAAGGTTTTTATCTCTAAGAAGAAAAGTATGACATAAATGAAAGCAGAGATTGGTCAATTTCAATATTTACTTTCCTATGTCATACATAAATTTTCAAATTAACTGATATAAAAGTTGTTTATTAATATATATTTCAGTACATAGAAGAATAAAAATATTTAACGTTAAAAATATAAAATTCAATTAACAATCCACCAAAAATGTTTGTTTGTTACCATGAAGCATAAACAAACAAATAAAATTACCTGTGATTGGATAAGAGAATTTGGAAATTCAAACCTTTTCCTGATATAATCTGACATTTTTACTCCTCTCACATGTACGTAAGCAGATTCTGTAACCAAAACAAAAGAATATTTGTTAGTCCGGAAACGGAGTTCAAACCAACTATTTGTCAAATAACATGAAAGTAATTCATTCCAAAGACAACAATGGACATAAAGCACAGGGCTCTGCAGAGCAATCCCTTGGCATAACCTTCCCTGTTAACCATTTCAGCCCTCAAATGCCATGACTGATAAATAAACTAAAAATGCCCAACAGCTCTTAGTTTTTCCCAGTAGAGCAAATCCTGAAACAGATGAAGTCACTCCACAGAAACAAACAAAAAAATCCAAAAGTTCAAGCCTAAATAACAGGATTTTAAAAGTTCAACCACATGTTTGAAATAGAAATTAATTCTTCTGTGGATCAAAACTTCTGAGGGAGAAAGAATCAAACTTTCACAAAATTGTTTAAATTATGCCTCACTCTGGTACAAGCTTCCGTTTAATCATGAATCCAATTGTTAGTGACAAGTGTGAAGCATTGGTGAGCTTTTTCAGGAAGTACAGAAATGACCTAGAAACTCACACATCAAAACAGATCCCATGTCTTCTAAAAGAGGAATAAGCAAGCAATTAGCACCAACTTTTAATATTTACATCACACCTCTCTGACTCCTACTGGGCTCTCAAATACAACAACAACAACAAAATCATGGAGAAGGGCAGGTGGCAAAGTGGAGGCACAGAACTAATAAGATTTCCCAAGGATCCCAATTTATCCAATTCCCATGCAGCACTGAACCCAGAAAATTACACCACTCTAAAAAATAGGATGCTTTAGGCCACCTATTTATTACAGTATAACTTAAAAAAAAAGTTTGTTAGTACTGTTCTCTAAGTCACCTTATAAAAATAAGAGGCAACAAACCAAGCTTTCCTGATCTCAAAAATGGAAGCTTCTTGTGTTGAACCTGCAGCTCTTTCTCACTATTCTCCATTTCTTCCAAAGCCCAACTCCCTGAATAAATAATTTATACTACCTTTCTTCCTCAACATCTAAACTTTGCTACGGCAAAGTCCCTTGAATTGGACATTTCACAGCACTGAAACAACATGTTCTAAGACTGCCAACCATGTCCCCTGTCTAATTTACTCATTAGCTTTTAAGCAGGTCAAAATTTCTTCAACTTCCCCATTGTATTAATCTCACCTTTCTTGAAATGTTCTTCTCTTTTGTTCCATAAGACATCACAACAGGATTTCCCAAAGTGTGTGCCTGGGAAACCCAAGATAGAGATCTCCTCGAGAGGAAAAAAGAATTTTGTAGGGACATATACTGCCATCTTGAAGATTCAAAGAGTAAACAAAAAACCAAATAATACATGAAATATGTTAGAAGGTGATACAATGGAAAAAAATAAATCTGATCTCTTTTTCTATGAGTTGGTTTTTGGGTTTTGTTTTTTTTGCAGTACGCGGGCCTCTCACTGCTATGGGCTCTCCCATTGCGGAGCACAGGCTCCAGACACGCAGGCTCAGCGGCCACGGCTCACAGGCCCAGCCACTCCGCGGCATGTGGGATCTTCCCAGACCGGGGCACGAACCCGCGTCCCCTGCATCGGCAGGCGGACTCTCAACCACTGCGCCACCAGGGAAGCCCTATGAGTTTGTTTTTGAAGTACAACTGACCTACAACGCTACGTTAGTTCCTGTTATACAACATAATGATTTGATATTTCTAAACATTTCAAAATGATCATCACGATAAGCCTAGTTACCATCACCATACAAATTTATTACATAATTATTGACATATTCCCCACACTATACATTTCATACCTGTGACTCATTTATTTTGCAACTGGAACCAGAGGCGGAAGGAGGCGACTGGATGAAGGCAGTCAAAATGTACAAACTTCCAGTTATAAGATAAATAAGTACCAGGGTTATAGCATACAACATGATAAAGGTAATGAACAATGCTAGATGTTATATATGAATGTTAAGGGAGTAAATCCTAAGACTTCTCATCACAAGGAAAACATATTTCTCTTCCACTTCTTTAATTTTGTATCCATATGAAACAATGGGTGTTCATTAAACTTATTGTGGTCATCATTTGATTATGTATATAAGTCAAATCACTATGCCTTAAACGTATACAGTGCTAAATGTCAACTGTACCTCAATAAAACTGGAAGAAAAAAATGTTTTTAAAAAGTAAAGCCAACAGAGTAAAGGGGGGGGATGAGAAATGAGGGATGGACACACTTCCTATTTAAATATGGTGGTCACCTTAGAGGGTGACATTTGGAAGTTAGCCACACAAATCGGGGAAAAGAGTGTCACAGGCACAGGAAACAGTGAGTGCAAAAGCCCTAAGCTAATAACCTGCTTAAGACCCATCCCAGAAAGAGGAAAAAGAGGAGTCAGGGACAGAGTGAAGGAGGAAGAGAATGGTAAATCAGAGTCAGTGAGAAGCCAGACCACAGAGGGCCTTGTAGGCCACTGGATGGACAAATGTATTTATCCTGAGTGAAACTGTTAACTACTACAGGAAAAAAAAAAAAGTGGTTAGATTTTAATAGAATCACTGAGGTGAGGAGAGGTCAGATTCTGGATATCTTCAAAGGCAGACCCAATGTGGTTGCTAATGGATTAGATGACAGTATAGGAGAAAGAAAGGGTCAACGATGACGTCAAGGTTTTTCATCTGAGCAACTTTATTCTTAATTTTAATTCCTTTGGGCATTTTACACATTAAACAAAACCATGTATATATTACTTACCATGGCATTTTTTTACTAAAAGGAAAAGATGGAGTTGCCATCAACTGAGACAGGGAAAGAAGTTTTGTGAGGGAAGACCAGGAATTCCACTGGATAGGTAAGTTTTAGATGCTTAATGAATATCCAAGTGGCAATGTCAGGGAGAAAGTTGGGTAAATGAATTTATAATTGAGAGACAGATCTTAGTTGGTGATACAAACAATGGTGTGTATTATTAAACAATCTGAGAGGTTCTAAAGCAAGAAGTTTGATTAACTTTGCTTAACCCAGAGTTTAAAAAACTTATCTGGTCATGGCCCACCTTTTTCTAAAAATACCTGTTAACAGTCTACATAACCAGCCTTCCCTGGGATACACCTTGGCAAACACTGCTCTACTGGCTCCTCCAATTCCTCTGTCCACTCTGCTTCTCAAGCACCATCTTCCTGAAGGTGCTCCCAAGCCTTTTGCCTTGTGCTTCTTTCATGAAAAGTCTCCTGGAGCCTTCATCTCATCCCTATCTCCAAACACTTCCCTACTCTCTCTCATAAGCCTCTAAAACACCAGAAATTGGAGAGGTTAAAAACAAAACACATATTTTCTCTCATAAAAACTGTTTCCATTTCAGCGCATCTTCTCTCAATTCTCCTCTCACAATTTTCTTCACCAACATTCTCTAAATCCAGTCAGTCACAAAGTCAGCTTTGTTCTTTCCAGCAACTCAGAGTCTACCTTTCCTCTCCATTTCTCCACTCATCATCTTCGTTCCTCATGCTAGGCTTCCTTCAGTAACTGTTTAATCTTGGGGTTCTCCATGCTTGAGTTCATCCCATACACTGCTGTCAGATTAACTGTCCTAAAATGCTATTTCCATCATATCATTTCCCTGTAAAGAATTCACAGTGGGTTTTCAATAGCCTGTCAGATTAAATGCAAATTCTGATTCCCAGGTTTTAAGTCTCCAACGGCAGTCTCACACATTCGACTTCATTTTCACTGTTGTCTAATTCCAAGCTGGTTAAAACCATTTTCAGAATAGTCCCATGTGCTCAAAAATCTGCTCATTCCTAAGGGGTTTTATTTATGCTGTTGTCTCCCATATAAAATGTCCTCCTCTGTCTGCTCCTACTATTTAAAGATGAAATTCATTTCATAGCATATCTTCTCTGTTAAGCCTTTTCCCAAGCAGCCACATCTTAGAGCAATCGCCTTGCTTTATATTTCTTCAGTGCTATTGCCTTTGGTCTGACCCATACTACCATGTGACTATTTACATTAGGATTGTTCATATTTTTCTGTAAAGGGTCAGAGAGCAACTACTCAGATTTGCCACTGTAGCAGGAAAGCAGCCACAGACAATACATAAACAAATGACCAGGGCTGTGCTCCAATAAAACTTTACAAAAACAGGAGGCAGGTGGGCTGTAGTTTACTGACGCCTGGTTTACATAATGACTATTTAATTCATTTCTAAAACTTGTTGACAAAAACTGCTACAGTTGACATTCAAATCTGCCCCTGTGCATCCAAGCACAGGTAAATACATAAATAAGATAAATTATACATGTCTTATTATCTAAAAGATGAAAAAGTTCTCTTTATCATAGAAAACAAACTTTTTCATGCCCCTAAACTCTGAAGGAAATTTCTCACATTAGGCTTCCTATATAGGATACAGAGTGATATAATAAACAATAATCTCAATAACATAAGCAAAATGGAATTTTATGTTACTTCTTTTTTAAACAAACCCTGGAGAAAGCTATGGTTATAACATAGCATGTAATTCAGGAAAAAAAAACTCTCAGCTAATGGGGTCCAAGTACAGAGTTTTCTGATGATCTAACCTAACTCAATAGAAAGTCAACCTTAGAGTATCCAGAGAAGCAGAAGGTTATCAACTTACCACAGAATATACTTACGCAAATGTCAAGAGTGAGAGAGTTAAATAGAAGAAATGTGGGGTTATACTCTGATTCAGGCCTGAACAATGGAATTCCAAAATGCTCTGGGGACCAGACAAACAGCTGGTTAGGCTAACAGCTTATTATGGCAGTGAAGAAGCTGAGCCATCCGGAAAGAGGACTTTGTCTCCAGGAGGTGGGCCAATGGAGTAAAAGAGTACTGTTTTTACCAAAATTGTCTAAGTATAGATGACAAATACCTAAGCTTACAAAAGACAGCCCTAATTTTGGTACAACACTGTAGAGAATAAGTAAGTTTTCTTTGTTTTTTTTTTTTTTTTTTTTGCTGAAGTGGGATTTTACTCCTTCTACTTTATAATCGTTACAGAA